CTGCTGCACTGTGCCTGCCTACTGCAGGGCCAGAAACAGTCAAGTCCTCGTGTCTTGTGCACGCCAGCCCACACCAATTGACTTCTCCACACAACAAGCTCTCTCTGCTTGCTAAAAAAGGTTTTGGCTCAAAGGACTCAATAAATCATTTTTGTAATGTTTCGATTAGATTTCCAAGGATGCTTAGAGACTGAACTCTCGCTTCTACTTTGTGTCCTAGATTGCATATTCACCGGAATAGACGGATTGTTTCCCAAAAGAACACCAACACAAAACAAAACGGATCCATTGTGCAGCATAGAGGGCTACAGCTGCAGTTTGTCACTCAGATAGAGTTCTCCCTCTGCTTGTCTGGTTAATGGCAGCTCATTCTGTCACAGTTGACCTGCGCCTTTCGTGAACCGCTCTCTGTCCTTTTCTCAGTCCCTTTGTGACACTCATCATGAGGACAGGCATGAGAGCTGTGGCTTCATTTTGCACTCTACTTCTACCTCCTCCTTCTCTCGTGTCCTCCAGCCTCCCTTCTGTCCTATTGTCTTTCCCTTTCTGTCCACCTCCCCTACCCCACTCTTGGCTTCTGCATTCCTAACATCGTTCTGCTATGATTAGCAATAGTGTTTTTTTTCCCTTTTTAGCCTGTGTAATTTCTAGATCCTCCTCTGTCCTTGGAAAGCTCTTCTAATAAGCTCAGACACACCAATGTCTCTGTGCACCACGGGCATTACTCTTCGGCGTTACTGAGCGTGTAAACAAAGACCGCCCCAAAAAGAAAAATACAAAACAAAAACACATGCGGCGTCTCTTTTCTCAGCGCACGAATAGACTGGCCTACCAACCCCACCGAGGGCACCACCGACAACACCAGACAGCGAGCGGTGACCTTCTGCATGTCAATCACAACAAATCTGCTTCCTGATTCGAATATGGGGAGGAAAACGGTGTAAATTGAAAGCAGAAATCCCCCCGGTGCGAGACAAGATGAGCCTCAGAATAAATTATTCAGATGGAGCTCTCTCTCTCTCTTTCTCTCTCCCGAATGATTCTCGCCTTCTGCTACATTTAATGGCATCTGCGATGACGCCCATTGGAGATTAATCCAGATGCGAGACGTTTGTGTTTGCGTGCTTACATTTGTGCTTGCGGCCCGCTCGCCCTTCTTCTCATGCATCCCGTCGTGTCGTGTGATGGGGAAACAGAGCCTCAGCAGGGGAATTTATCTCTTCTCCAGAGAGGCTTGTAAATAAACAAGTAGTGAATCAATGGCGCCATTTGTTTTGTTTTTTCTTATAATTCTGCCTTTTCTCTTTAGGTGGTTTGACAGTTTTTTTTTCTTCTGAGGCTCTTTATATCTCAGCAGCCATATTTCCTCTCGGTGAGAGTGAGAAAACATGCCTGGCTCGCGTCATGTTTCATTACAGAGGATCAGTAAATTACCTTGTGTGTGCGCATGTTTTTACTTTTCTTTTATATCACCCACTGCAGCTCATTTAGCACCATGATGGAGCCTTTGTATGAATGTGGAAATAATACCAGCAGTGGAAGTTGTGCTTCAGAACTTCTCAGTCAAACAAAGACACACGAGCTGAGATGAATCCACAAACACAGAGTGTGTCCTGCGGTTAATGCATTTCAGGCTTGGTGAGCATTATTGATTCCCTGCAGAAGGATGACCCTTCCTTAGATAAGTGCTCACAATATTTGACTGTTTGGAGTATTTTTCTCTAGCATGTTTTCATTATTTTTTATAACTGAACCGAAGCCTTATTATAAGCCGTTTTCCTTAGGGGCTCAGTAGACCGATGTGTGTTTACTGTGTGAGTTTTGTTTCTTATTTGTTTCTGGTTTAATCCCCTGAGCTGAAGTTCTGTTGCCTTTAGTGGTGATAATTAGCTGGTTCCAGAAAATATAAAGGGTGTTACCTGTATTAGTTAGGGTTCAGTGACTGATAGCGGCAGTGAATAATGATGTGAGAGCAGTGCTTCTGGTTCTTCACACATAAAGGTAACCTCCCAGTGTGTAAACCCTGATTAGTAGAATCCACAGTAATGCAGCTAATGCTGCTGTTAGTGATATTTATTGAGTGCCAAAGGTGCCACATTGTTACGGTAAAATAAATCCGTATGGGGTTATATTATATGATAGAGTTAAAGAAAAAACTGCTATTAAGGACAGATCTAATAATGGTCTTATTAAATCTGTAATTAAATAATATTCCCTCTCATATGATTGTTATAGAAATGTGATTTATACTTCACAGATGAAATTATTGATTAGTACTTCCCAAACAAATCCTAATAAATGTTTGTCTGCAGGAAAAAGAAGAAATTGTTAAAAAACAAAAACCTTGTAGCTACATCTTATTTCTTTTTCTATTCCATGTTTTATTAGACCTTAAACTTCAGTACTTCATTAAATAAATCATAGAATAGAATAGAATAGAATAGAATAGAATAGAATAGAATAGAATAGAATAGAATAGAAACATTTGGGAACCATTTGGGAACCATGCTATATAAAAAGGATAAAGAGGAGAAAAAAGCAAGGGAAGTAAGGAAACTTAAAAGCATAAAAATGAATTGCTGCAGCATCTGATGACTGAACAATAAATTAGTATATCTGCTTTTTAATTAGTTTTCATAATGTTATATTTAGTTAATTACACATGTTTTTGATGAGTTATCTATGTAGTTTTCCTATTTTAATTAGTGAGTTTATTAATTAAAGACGCATTTTGCCTCACATTTCAAAATCCATAATGCAAACTGCATGGAAAATAGACTGTATAGTTTTGAATATGGTGGTTATATATATTACATTTTATTTTCATAGGACTTACAGGATTTATCGTTTTCATTGTGATAATTACATGGCTTCAAAAGCTTATAATGCAAATAAATAACTAAAATTTAGAAATTCAAGACAACCAGGTGATGTTTAGAAAAATAATTTTTAAAAAGCATTTGGTTTGATAATACAAACTTTCTAGGTTAGGTAATAATTTGTTTGATTATTGTACTACTGCATTTTTCAAATTCCATGAATAAAATCATACACCCTCTTTCTGACTAGAGGGTTATCATCCTTTCTTTTTCTCTGTTTTGAGTACCTTTTTCTGTTCCCAATAACCAAGTGTGAAAATACTGTATAAGATTGTTTTAGCTAATTAAACTCACATGACTAATTTAATTTGATTCAGATATGAGAAAAATGACTATCTTTGGAAGCAGTTTTAGCCTGTAGGCATGGCATTAACGGTAGTTAAATGTGAGGTAATCTTTAGTTAGCAAACTAGGTTTTAAAATCTGTTAATATGCAGAAAATGTTAAATTGTAGTTTCAAACAGAATTAAGTAAGCTAAAGGAATAGTTATGTAAAATAGGTTATGGTGTGTTAATAGGCAGCAGTGATGGGACTAACGGCGTTGAAAGTAACGGCGTTACTAACGCCGTTACCTTGTTTTAGTAACGAGTAATCTAACTAATTACTTTGACTGTAACTATAACGCAGTTACCATTCCATACACCCCGTTACTGCGCGTTACTCAGGTCGCACAATTAACCTTTTTTCATGATAAGACTCGTGCGCAGCTGCGTGAAGCTGACACCTCACCCACGTCAAAAAAAACTCTGCAAATAGACTGAATGGTTAGTGCAACGTTAGTGCAGATTTGTGCAGAAAAAAATATTGTTTGTGCTACTTTTGTTTAAGAGATATTAAAGATTATTTTTAGGTCATCCAGAGGTGCGCGCCTTGTCATGAGAGAGGGGAGGATGAGAATGGCTGATGAGTGAGATTCCATCTGTCAGTTGGGTAGGTGGGTGTTTCCGCTGGCGGGTGTTAACGTACAGCACACACAGAGAGATGGAGAGTGAGGATGACTCCAGCAGCAAAACAGCGTTTTCCTGATAGAAATACCGGTGTTAGGTCGAGCTGCGTTTCCCAATCACATACGGTTTCCCCTGCATCTCCGCACAGCGCACAGCGCACTCCGCGACAGGAAACGCGCATGCTCGCTAAAGGCGCGCAACAGTCGCCCTGTGCTCACGCCACAGGAGAACTATGGAGAGCGTGAACGATCAAATGATAGCCTATATGGAGAAAGGGAGAAATCTGGATGGATGGATGGATGGATGGATGGATGGATGGATGGATGGATGGATGGATACTCTGCCTTCTCAACCTACTGTATTTTTTATTTTAAACATTATTTGATGGCCTTTGTGGCAGGAATGGAGATCCATATTTTATGTCACACACAGAGTATAGATAGATAGATAGATAGATAGATAGATAGATAGATAGATAGATAGATAGATGTTGCAGTACACAGGATTTCCGAATTAGACATCCCCAGTTATTAATTTCATATACTCACCAGTTGCAATAAATGCAAAACTCTCTGCAGGTTCTTGTCTTTGTCGTTCGCTCTATTCAGCTGGCTTTGGAAACACACGGCGAGAAGGTGGGGGCTGGGTGGTGAGGGTTACGGGGGCGAGAAACGCAAAAGTAACGCAATAGTTACTTTTACTAGTAACTAGTTACTTTTATTGTGGAGTAACTCAGTTAGTAACTCAGTTACTTTTTGGTAGAAGTAACTAGTAACTATAACTAATTACTTTTTCAAAGTAACGTGCCCAACACTGATAGGCAGCAAGTGGCTGTCCCATCAGGAGGATGTGCACATCTCTGTTAGAAAAGAGCCAGAAGCAAAAGAAAAGAATTGTTCCTGCATGATTAGAGAGTTTGGAAGACAGCTGCTACTGCAACAACTCATCTCCTGTTTCTCGTTTAAGGTGCTTTATGTTTAATATTTGACAGGATTGTAGATACAGATTCTCTGCAGCTCCCAGGTTCTTCTTATTTGCCTCCAATTTGTCAGATGAACAGCAGGGTGCTCCTATGCCATGCTAAGAACTCCTGCAAACTATCTCTTGTATTCCCGTTTCTCCAAAAAGCACATTCTGCCTTATCCGTAATCATTTTGCTTTGTTTGATTTCAGATTCACTCTGTGATTTATGAAGGCTAAGAAGCAGGTTTTGCTTGAGAGCAAAAACAGGAGCCTCCTCGTCAGAATCGGTAAGATTTCCTGCCTTATCCCCTCCGTCTTTGTCCAAGCCGCTCAGCGTGAGCTGGAGCTGCGATGCTGATAGTGCTGCAGGGTCTCAAACTTAAGATAAGAAGCAGAGGTTAGGATTTAGTTTTTTTGTTGTGTCACACCAGCCTCTTAAGCAATCAAACATTGTTCAGATTGTTCTTGTTGTACAGTAACAGTACAGAAGAGGAGAGTGAGAGAACAGGCATTGTGTGGAAAGAAAGAACAAATGTTTTCTTATCTGAAAATCCAGTCATTTAAAAAGACAAGCTTTCATTGCCGTCTACCGTTGTGTATTTGCTTGGTTATTTTCAAGATATGATGCTGTTTGGATGGCCATACAACTTGCTTGTCATTTAAAAGGTTTCAGTTTTCATGTGAAGAGCCACCAGTTCTTCTGCTAGATGTGGTTTATGTGGCTTCTGTCTTTAAAATTCAGCATCTTGGGAAAATATTCATACCCCTTGAACTTCCTCACTGTTTGACACATTGTAACCGCAAACTTCAGAGTCTTTAATGGGCCTTATATGTTTCTGCACAGATAAAATCTAATACCTTGTTATTGCACATATTCTACTCATGCGTTTATAGAAAGATATATTTTTGTTATGACGTCTGTTGGTGAAAAAACAGCATCATGAAGCCGACAGATCTTGCTTAAAGTTTAAAGCAAGGCCGGGGTATAGAACAATATCAATGCGTTGAACATCTCGTATAGCTCTTTTGAATCTAGAGTGGAAATACCAATGTTTACAAAATCATAACGGACTGTTTCAATATAATATTTGGTTGGCTACTTTGGCTAACTCCCATAGTTCTTTTTCCCACAACCGACTAAGATCGGAAAGCTTATGTAGAGCAGTGGGTTAGCCTTTCAGCTGCAAAACATCTCTACATATAAAGCCAGAGCTCAAAGAAAACAAGTAGGATCAAAGTGTAACTGTGTGTGAATTTCGTAGTCAAATTCAAGACCTAAAACCAAAAGAATCTGTGCATGAGCTGAACATTGTGTTTACAGATGCTATTTGAACGGCGTTCTAAAGAAAAATGCAGCTAAAGGTGTTTTTAAGTAGTGACTAAGGGGAGCTAATACAAAATGTACACGTTTCAGATGTTTTTATTTATAACCAAATTTGAAATACATGCTATTTTTCCAAATTATGCACAGATTTGTGTTAAAGTGTTTGTGGCATTTCAAAATGATAAAAAAAAATTAAAAATTCAGAAGCGTATCAATGGGGCATTCATGGGGAATTTTCTGTTTATGAAGATTTAATTTTTGGAAAAAATCAAGCAAACATTTTGTTTTTTTTATTTAAATTTTTTATTTGTGAGAACATTTTCACAGCTTGAATGTTGTTCCTCTTTAAAGTAAGGTCACCCCCAAAGGGAATGATTGAAATCTTTGAAAATAATGCAAGGCATCTGTCATTTTTATTATAAAACAATAATTCGGATTTGGTAGGAAATTATCAGAGATAAGATTTTTATGCCATATCACCCAGCCCTAAGCATCAATATGTTTGCTTTTCAACCGAAACAGCAGTGCAGAGCCAATATGGAGTTAGCATGTTTTACCTTTTGTCTGACTTCGTCAGCAAGATCACTCACATGGAAAAGAGCAAATTTTCATCTCAATTTCACCAGCAACCAACATTTGCTTTATGCTCCCCAATCTGCGGGAAAAGGCTCAATTTCATGCAAAAACATGCATGAATATTGTGTTCAATTAGCCTTTGAACAGCACGAGTGTTATGCTTTCGCCTATCCCTTGGACTCCATGAATTTTAAGTGTCTGTTTAAACCCATGGCAGTCATCATCGCAGTGTCGAAAACCTTTGACCACCATGATGGATGATGTAATTGGGTTGAATGAGGGTGTGAGGAAACAACAGACAGCAAACCAAAGAATGTCATACTATTTCTCAGTCGCATAAAAGGAAAAAGAGATCTGATCTCACCGCCTTTTCTTTGAGATGTTGTGCAAAATGTCGACGGTGTAGTTTGTGTACATGCGAAACAGCATCAGAGTGCTTGAAGGTGAATCATTTTTGGTGGCATCTGCACATTTTGCAGTATGCTAATGAGCAAAGCTGCACAAGCCAGATTGCCAGGAGAGCGAAGGGGAGATGGAGAGGAAAGAAAAACTTGGAGAGAGCAAAGTGGAAGAGAGAGAAACAGACAGAGGCTGGTGTAAATTATGGATGCAACCTGCGATTTCCAAGAGGGAAAGAAAGGCAGAGAGAAACCTCCAGTCATGCATATCAGATTATGCATTTACCACATTTTCTTATCATGGTCCATGAGCAAAACTCGCAATCTGCAATCTGGCCTCTTTGTGTATGCGTGTGTGCCGGTGTGTGAGACAGGGAGGGAGAGCACTTACATATTCATCCATGTCAAGTCTCGTGGAGTTGTGCTGTGCCGTCAAGCGTTCTCTAAAACTTCCTGCAAAGACAGAAGATGTTTTTACTTTTATTACTCTTTGGTTATCAGTGTTTACATTAGAGCTCAAAATATCAATCAACAGATCACGATAGACCTTTGATTGGTTAAAAAAACGGACATTTAAAACAATTAAAGGACCTGCATGCATGTTTGTGTTCTTCTGTGAGAAAAGCAGAAGTCGGCTATGGCCTATTGGTGCATCTCTGTCTCACATGGTTCTTTAAGAGAGCAGCACATCTATTCTGCTCGAGGCTGTTTCAGTTACTTTGTTTTCCCAAATCTCAGAGGGTACTCATGAGATATTTAATGACACAAAAAGCTGAATAGTGCCTCGTTAAAAGAAAAAGAAATTTGAATCTCATTGTGTGAGTTGCTCAAGCATTTCAAAGTAAAGTTGAGTAAAAGTGAGCAATCGTTCAGTGCTACCACATCCTAGCATGTGCTCCAGTCCCTTAAGTATATATGTGTGTGTGTGATATTGTGTGAATAATGGATCCATTCTTGAGTCGTGTCTGTGACTGGGGCCTGAGCAGTGGTGTGGTTTCCCCACCAGAGGTTGGAGGTACAGGGATGGGAGGGGCTGCTGGTCTGGAAATAGCTCTGCCTGAGCTGAGAGCACCTTAGGTGGGCCTCTGTGTCAGCTTCATCTCCTTTTTACACACTTGCACGACTAAAGTACAATTCGGCTCTCGAGCGTTCCACACATTATGCACACATTTCCCCTAGTGTGGCTTTACATAACTCCAGTCAGCTTTGCTGTCTCTGTGATCGACTCAAACATGACAGGAGCCTTCGAAAAAAAAAACTGCAGCTTCTTTCATATGAACAAGTCATATTGGACTTTAAAGGTAGACAGAAAATAGGAAGCTGCCTTGGATCTCGCTGTCATCTAAATGTGTGTTAATGTGCAAAGTAGGTCATTTAGTATGTGGAGCAGGGATAGCCGAGTTGTAAAATAGTTTGCTTGCAGACACATTGCAGGATTTGGCAAACAAGGCAGGGATTTATGTTTATCCATGTTTTGTTCATATGTCATTTTAAAATATATACATAGAAGTGATGTGGGGGGGCGGGGATCCCGGAAGGTGAAAAGGGCCGTGGTTAGTCCAGGGACAGCATCAGTAACCACAACCAGAGATAGCAGCTGAAAGATCTGACTAAATCAGATTACCAAACAAACAGTAAAGAGGATTAATTCTGATCCCCCCCCCCCTTTAGACAGACATTAAATCTGCAATCTATAAAATCCTCTCAGACGATTTTCTGATTTACTTTGTGTTCCCCTTTCTTTGCCTTCGTCTGAAGGTGAAGCTCTTACAGCTCGCATGTAAAATGTTTCTCTTTTGCTTTAACGTCAGACATCTACAAATTGAGATAAAGGAAATAATCTCCTCAAGAGATGAAATGAGAAATTGACTGATGACCGTAATCCTGCGATTCCTTTCAGCTTGATCCTCCCCGGCATGATAGTGGCTGCTCAGAAACTTTAAAAGATTTTTACATATTAGCCCACCGATCTTAGCACTGCCAGATCGTGCAAACTCAAACACTCTTCAGTGTTGTAGTTGTGAAAGCAGGTACACCTTAGAGTGGGATGTTTTCATTATGACTTAATCTTAAACATTAAATAAGAAGAAACACAGGGATGTAAGAAGCTGTTTAAATTCTAGCAGTATTTACTACATGCCATAACATGCAAGGCAAGATTTTGGTTTCAAATATTAGTAAGGACTACCTTTTTAGTACCTCTAGTTGCACTAACCACACTAACTGCTGATATAAGATTTTAAACATTGTTTAAAATGTCAGCTGTGAATATATGCTAATTTTAATTGTAACATAAATTATTAAAAACATTTATAAAATAGGCTTTTATACATTATTTCAAGTAGGGCTGCACAATACCAGGAAATAATGTCATTGCAAAGCTGCTGCTGAACTTTGCTCATGTTAATTAATATTAACCCACATTGTTGTTGCTCTTTTCCTTAATTTTACCTTTATCATAGTGTCTTGCCTAAATGTAGCATCTCAACCACTAAGTTTTTACATCTAGTGTTGGAAAGAAGACCAAGAAAAGCTATTTACCAGCCAGTATTTACTGTCGACTTTGCATGATTTGCAAAGCATTTAAATACTATTCTTACATTAGTGCAGTGTTAAGAACAGTCAGAAATCGCTGAGAAATGTCTGATTAGATCATCTTTGTATTTAGAATCCTTTTAGCATACAACACTGGATCTGATCTCTGATTTGGTTTTGCATGATGTTGTAATTGCATGTTCTGAAAGGGAAACTCAATGTTGGCAAGAAGGCCGAGTTGAGACAGGCCTCTGCGCCTCTACCGGTGTCAATTAAACGATCACAGCAAGGTTCAGTGGCATACTTCTAATTAATGGAAAGCACAATACACGGAAGGGAATAATTACACCTTGTCCCAGGCTTTCAGAGATCAAATGCTTTGCAGCATTTCTCTGAATTAATCTCCGGAGTGGCTGCTGATTTACAGGGAATCAGTGGCTGCATAGCAGGTTCT